GGGGGGAAATATGAACAAGCTGCGAGGCTTGATCCACCCACCCCTGCGCACGCAGCACCTCCTGCAGAGGCAGGCGCCTCTCTTGCGCCCAGGTGGGTATCCCTGGTTTTTACCAAGATCTCTTGTGCCTTTGCCCAAGGAGAAGGCACTGCTGATTTGGGTGCAGGGCAGTCTTGCCCAGCGTGGCGCAGCTGAAAGCAGGGGTTTAGGGTCCACTGCAAAACTCACGGGAAGGTTTGAGAGGAGCGAAGGATCTCGCGGCCACGTGGTGCTGGTGCCATCAACTTGGGGGGCGCAGGGGCACGCGGGGGCCCTGTTGGACGCTGGGGTGGATGGAAGGCAGCTTTTCTGCTCCAGTGCCACTGCTGCCCTGGAGATAGATACCAGTCTGAGTATTTGCACTGATCCTTTCCAGCCCTCTTTATTTGCCCTCCAACAGTCTATGGTGACAGCTCCTCCTCTACCGGGAGCCTCATCAGGGGCATCTCAAGCCACGCAGCAGAGACAGACCCAGCTGCCAACATCTGCATCTGCTTCCCAGCATCAGCCCCTGGTGTGGCCTCCCGGGTCCTTGCCAGCACTGCTGCAAATCCCAAACCCCAGGTCCCCACTCAGCACCTCCATCCAGCGCTAATTTATTTTTTTAACAAGGTTAAAAACCCTGGTGTCCATTCAGTTTCTGTCTCTCCAAATACAGCACTGTCCAGTTTAACCCCAAAACATCTTCTCTGAATGAATATTTAATCACATAGAGCTCTGATGGGAAGGGACCACATGTAAAAAAATAAAATTGTTTGATGAATTTTGCCCCCTCTTTTACAACCAATTTTTCCGCAGCTCATTTGGGGTCTCAGACCTTTTCTGCCTCAACAGACACCCTCAGAAGGTGAGATTTGCTGTGACCTTTACTTTCTCTCAGCCTGTGGCTTTATTTCCTAGTTGTTTAGGGTATTTATTTTCTGCCGCCATTTGCAAAGATGCTTAAGCATTTGAGCAGGACTGAAATACCCAAGCAGTCTGTAACTTTACCTTCAGCCTACTGCTCCGGGTACCACGGGGCCTATCCAAGATGGCAGCTTTCTTGGGTTGTCAAGTTCCAATTAACAAATTGCATTAATAAACTGATGTGCATCATGGTGTGTCCCAGCATATAGGATGCAATGGCAGGAGTTTTGCCAACTTGGTTTATCTCTGCCAAACCAAACACCGGGTACTGTTTCTCAGCAGTAACTCATTGGACTGGACAGTTTTTTCTCCTTTTGCCTTTTTCACTTTAAACTGTAAAGATCATGGATGCTGGCTTCAAAAGATGGGTTAACTTTTAAAAAATTTTCATTAGGGTTATTAAGTCATTCTTCCCAGGATGGTCATTATATGACATTTTAATTTTTATTTTTTTTGTGAATCAAACAGCATCTTCAGCAGATTTATTGCTTGATGAATGGCATAGCAACGGTGCATGTCAGACCTGTAAAATAGTAAAATAATGGGTAGGGGGTTTGTTGTTAATCAGAATTTATTACGCTACATAAACGCATATTTACAGTCCCACCAGGGGACTATTAATTTGTTTAGGGATAAACAATTAATCTCCCTGGGAGTGGGAGCAGAAAATCTGACACGGTTTTATGTCTTTTCCCAGCGTGGCAGAGGCAGGATAGCTCACAGCCTTGGGCTGCCGGGCTCCCTGGGGGGGTCTCCCCTGGCACAGACACGGGTCTGCGGTGCCTGGGGAGAGGCAGCCCACTGGGCAGTGAGGTCCCGCTTCTCCCTGGCTGGTTTTGCTCTGGGAGCTGTGCTCTCTGCGGTGATGAATGGGTTTTTTCCTGCCCCTGCCTGAGCTGGACTCTCACAGACGGCCTCAATGCATCCCGTTTGTTTCCTCCCCCCGCCATCTATTTTTGGGTTTCAGCCTTTGCATCCTGTTTCCTGCATCCTCTCCTTTCCGCTCAAGATGCAACAAGCACAAACAAGGAGGAGAGAGGGAGGTGCTGCACAGTTGGAATTAGAGGGTTTTTAGCTGCTACTGCTTGGTACCTTTGCTCCGTGAGCTTCTTCAAACTTAAGCCTTATTATTTTCCTTTGGAAGCAGCTGTTTGATCTGCAGGCGTGACTCCAGTACAGGGCAGAAACACTTGGGATAATTCCCAACCAAGGCCCTGGAAAGGTTACAACAAAAGCAAAATTTCTGGTTTACAAGAGCAAATCCAGTGTTTTGGCAGGTAATGCCAACGCGTTAGGGAAAGAAGTTTGCACCTTGTGTTCAAGCAGCTCTGGCCGTGGTGTACCAGCATAATGTAAGAGCCAGACTAAGACCACTGGCTTGCAGCAGGCTCTCTTGCAAACCTTTAGCGCAGGTTTGGACCATGATTTGGTTGTTTTTTTGGCCACCACTGTGCCCATCAGGGTGGTGCCAGCCTCGGGACTCCGCACTTGCTGCTGCCTGTATGAACCCCGACGGCAGGACCCAAACCAGACCCAGCTTTCCTTTCAGTGTAACGATCACCTGCACCCATCCTGTTTATGCTTTTTTTTTCCTTGGCGCTATGTCCTGAAAAACATCTTTGCACTTTTCTGCGGGTGCAAAGGTTGTTTCCAGCAGGAGCTGCAAGTTTTTAGGGGATTTGCGCTACCATAATTAAGAACCACCTAGATCATTAAAAATAATATTCTTCACATGAGAGAGGAACAAGTCTGCTTCACAAGACCCCTTTCTGCTGAAAAATTCATTGCTCTTAATAATTAATGTTCCTCACAAAGGAGGATGGTTTTGCATGTTGCTGGGTGGAAGGTGAAATTCAGATGCTGGGTAGAGTAATCTTCCTTTTTTTTTAGTAAGTCTGTATTTCCTCACCATGCTACTGCCCTGGGAGCTGTGGGGAGCAAGGCCTGAAACTTCTCCCTGCAGAGTCCTGCTCTGGGAGGGTGTCTATGCAAATGGGGTCCAAACCCCCTGGGTCCTTTGCGGGGTATGGATGGGACAAGGGGCTGGTTCCCATCAGGAGTGTCCCAATCTCATCTCTTTTGCCCTGAAGACAAGGGTCTTGGTGAGTTGGAAGGCACTAGAGAAGAGCAGATACCCCTGCTGCCACTGTCCCTGCTGAAAACAGCCTCTGCATTTATTTTGGTTTGCTGTTTGCACTACTGTGCCTTTTACATTGCATGTCAGGAATGAATTTATTGCCAGGACAGCATTTGCATTTCTTGTGTGGTGTATAAATAGGCTATAAATAAGGTGCTGCTTTCTAATTACTGCACAGCACCGGGGGAAGCGCTCGCACCAGGGTGTCAGGGCAGTGCCCATGCTCCCCTGGCCTGTCCCTCGCCAGCACCAGCGTGTCCTTTGTTGGAGCAGCAGCAGCTCCCGGGCAGGACCCTGCAGACAGCAGCTCTGCCACCACGGCACCAGCCAGTCCAGCTGCCAAAAAACAGCTCAGCAGTAAATAACCCAGGTAGATGTAGGGCAGAGCCAGACCTGTCGGGCAACACCGCTAGTGTTGGAGGGTTTTTTTAGCTGCTTGGACCACCCATAGCCATCACAGGGTAAACTCAATTCCTTTTCCTCCCCTCCAGCCTGCCTGTGGCTCCTGCAGCATAACTTGCATTTAGCACATTATTTACTCCTGATTTGTAACCTCTTTGGTAAGAAGGGCCAAATGGAAACATGTATTAGATTTGTTCCTATAGTAACCATGGTTGCCCAAAAGCTCAATTCTAGGGGAAAAAGTAAAAAGGGAAAATTGTGTATTTCTAACCAGAGCATCTCAGCAGGGCGAGAAGGCTGGACAAGGGTAGGTGGGGGTGGGACCTGAGCTCCTTACCGCAGCTCCAGCACAGGTTATGAAAATGAAGCTTGTTAGGAAGATGGGGACAAGACCTGTCTTACAGCTGTACTGCTTTAGGGAGCCAAGAGGTAGACGTTACTGCAGGGTGACTCACCAAAGCCAGAAGCATTTTGTGGAATTTGCCATGAGACGACAGGACTTGACGCGGCTGCTACAATGCCAGGACCAAAGTGCCCTCACACTGTTTGAACACTGCCACGAGCTGGGTGCTGGAGGAGGAGGCACCCATCATGGGTCCCCTCGCTGTCCCCGGCCACGCCGTGCCCCTGGCTGAGCTGGCACATGTCCCTGCTGGAACAGGGACCACTTTGCTGCCAGTGCCATCCTGTTGGCAGAGGTGGAAATGTCACCTGCAATGGAGACAGAAACAGCAACAGTGAAGCTGTCGGGTGCCCATACCCAAGGGCAAGCTGGCTGTGCCATGAATTAGTGCTTTTCCTAGTTTTAGATGTTGATGCAATTTGCATCTCACTGGCCTCCCCTTTCATTGCCCCTCTGCACTGTGCCAGACCCTGGGGAGAATGCTGCCCACTAGGCTCTCCTGTAGCCTCTGGCACCCCAAAGCATCATCCCACAGTGTGAGCTGGGTTTGAGTAACAGCCCCAAATGACCCAGTTTTGTTGCAGAAAAGGCTAAATCAAAGCCATAGCCGTTGCAGGACAAGGCTGATGGGGCTGGAGGTGAGCAGGAGTAGAGGGGTGGGAGCAGACTGCCGTGTCAGCAGAGGCTGGCTGCAATGAAACCTCTGCAGCAGCAGGTTCCCCACTGCAGAGCATCATTGGCAAAATACCTTCTAATTGCCAGGCTTGCTGGGGCGGCATCAAGAACTGCGTTTCAGCTCTCAGTGGAGGCACCGGCACGCATCGCAGGCATCTAATGGCAGTTGTATTAGTGACATAGCCCTTCATCCATGTAATACATTTGCTGTTATCACCATAGCCTGAATACTAATAACCCCTGGAACCAGGTGACGGGTGAGCCGTGGGCTCAAGACTTAACGGTGAATTTAAGCAACAGAAGGTGGAAGGGAAAAGGTGGGAGAAGCCACCCACAACGGGCCCCCACTTCCCACTTCAAGAGGGGGAATTTGTGGGGAGGTGCTGCGGGGCCAGTGGTGGGCGATCACCTCGCTGACAGCCCTGCGTGTCCTTTCAGACGAGCGCCGTGCTGTGTGCGGGTGGCTGTGTCCTGCTGGCCCTCAGCTCGCTGCTGGCCATCGTCGCTGTCCTGCTGCCCGGCGGAGCCTGCGAGAGGCGAGTCTGCACCCTGGCTGGCTACATGCAGACAGCGGCAGGCAAGTGATGGGGACTTTGCTCTTTGGGGTGGAAAGATGGGGTTTCCCTGGGGTGCTGCCTGGCCATTCACAGCATCTCGCATCTCAGCAGCAAGGGGTGCTTGCAAACCCGAACGAACGCTGGGAGAAAAAAAAAAAGAGAGCGGTCCTTTGCTTTAGTAATTGCCTCCTGCATCCATGCTTATAAAATCTATCAAAAAATCACCTCCACTCAAACAAGCAGGTCTGTGGCAGAAAGCCTGTGCTGCAGGTCCTGCTCACTGCGCCCTGCTCAAGCTGCTGTTTAGGGCAGGGGGCTGCAGTGAGCAGTGGAGACCAGGCTGCCTGCTGCCAGGGTGCTGCTGCACCTCCTGGGTTCTAGTAGATGCCTTCTGTAAAGTTTGCAGTTCCATTTGGGCCATCCTTGCAATTAAATCTCCAGAGGGATTTCCCTCTCTGAGCCTTACACACAAGACAGGTTGTTGCCCACCCTGTCTCACATCTCTCCCTGGGTAGCCCACTTGATGCTGCATTCGCTTATATTTCCATTGGAGGTGCTTATAGTTCTGCATTTGAGAAGTGCTAGTGCAGAGGGGAGGAGACAGGCAGCTGGGGAAGGTCTGTCCCCATCCTGTGTGCCCTGCGAAGGGATAAAACCCACCTGAGACCAGTCTCCACTGTGGGGAGCCATGTCTCCGGGAGCTGAAGTGTTGGACTAAACAACCCCAGCTGGACACAAGCCACAACAGATTAAACTGCCTGTTCATGTCTATGCCCGAGAATAAACTCCTTTCCTTGGAGAAATCCTCAGGGCCAGCCAGGCTTCATTATCTGCCTGGCAGCATCAAGCAGCTTTTGGGGCAATCCTGTTACATACTTTCCTTACCAGGGCTCATCCCACAGGAGCCGATTTGGGAACAGATGGAGGGGCCTGGCAAGTTGGCCACAGCTGCTCCAGCTCAGCTGGGCTGTGGGTCCATAGAGGCAGCTGCTTGCACCCCAGCACTAGCGACTGATGCATCTCCTGCAGGCCACAATTTTGGGATCCCCATCACCCCTGTATGTTGGTTGGTGGCTGTGGCCAACGGCTCCCCTGGGTGCAGGATAGAGGCTGGAGGAGCCCCATGCCAGCAGGTCTCAGCCCCAGCCCAGGGACGTGTCACTGGGAGGTGGCTCAGGGTGGCCTTGCCAGTGGTCTCCCATGCAGGGGCTAAGTAGGATGGAAAGAGTTAACCCTGCGTTGCCTTTGCCCAGGGGATGGCACATCCCTGCTGCCTCTGGCTCTGCAAGGTGACAAGCAGGTACAAAGCAAGGGATTAGGAAGAATGCCTGGGAAGGAAACGACTGTGGCAGATAAATACAAATGAGGCACTCTGAGGGGTTTGGGTAATATTGAACAGGCTGTAAATAAACTGTAGGCTCTAAGCGTTATTGACAAATGAAAATTTACTGAGTATGTTCAAGCAAGCTAATGGGTTACTTTAAACCCTGGTGCTGCCTTGCTAAGCATTTTGTATTGTGCTTTTTAATTTTGGTTTGCTGTTGGATTAATTCCTATTCAGAGCCAGGCAGCCCTGAGTCAACAGAATTAAATGGTTTAGCGTATTTAGATTTAGTAATGCTGCCCCCCCCCCATAATTTCTCTCCCTGTTCTGCCTCCCTCCCTGGGGGGAAGCTCTTAATTAGAAATCAGCTGCAGCCAGGAGGCAGTGAGAAACTCTTCCCCCAAAATCACATTATCTCCTAGAGAAAAGCAGGGATTTTAGGGTAGATGAGTTTATATGGGAGAGAAGGAAAGTAGAGCCGCTTTCTGATGGGGGTGGGCAACAGCTCTGCCCAGGAAACCCCTATAAAGCTACCACAAGATGCCAGTGGAGCAGTGGGAGTGAGGAAGGGGCCACATTTCTCCCAAGCTCCAGATTTCCCTGAAGCACAGCAGGTCTCACAGGCACCTTCCCTCTGCCTGCCCTGACATTTTCCCCCTGAAATCCAAATTTTGCTCCCATTTTCCCTTCCCACTAAAAGAACTGGAGGTATTTCACAGAGCACCAAAGGCACCAGTAAATAATCTTAATACTATAAAACACTGAATCAGGCAATCTAATTTCCCAATAAAGAGCCAGGTGCATTCATCCAGGAGCATGAAACAATGCCATAAAGTGCCTGAGCAGGGGCACTGGCAGAGCCAGAATCAGTCCCCACAGGCTCTGCGCTGTATCAGACAGACGCCCCCAGCCACACTCACATAAATGCAGGTGCAGAGACCACACTGATCCAAACAAGACCCAATCCTGAGATCAGACCCACAGCAAAGAGCATTCAGGCTCAAGCTATGTCTTTAACACTTTCCTGCTAATTTTTTTAGAGATCCAAGTTGTGCCTTTCACAGCCCCAGAAGGAGGGAAGATAAAAACCTCATGCAGATAGAGCAGAGCATTAATTGCAGACACAGACATGCCATCAGGGTTCAGAGCTAGGCTAATTGCCACCATACATTGAACACATGATTCCTGGTGCCTGGCATCCACCCCTTAGAAAAAACACAGCATATCCACACAAATGACAAGAGAATTATCCCTAATGAAAGAATAAATGAGCAGCAAAGCAACAGGGAGAGGAGGAAAGATAAAAGACAAAACATTTGCGCAGCTCTTGCACCCTATAAGCAAAGTCAAAGCTGCCCCTGAAGGATTAGAGATGAAGCTCACTCCCTAAATATGCTACTAAAATTTAATTTCTGATGTGGTACATTCTCCCAAACCTGAACAGCAGCACCTCCAGAGAAGCTAGAGTAGGTAAACTGGCCCCATTTATGTGTGGGTCAGTGGGGCCACCCCAACCCCCAGCTGCAGCCCATCGCTGCTGATGGAGAGGGGCCCTGGGGCTGACCCCAGGGACAGGGAGTGCAAACGGGTACACAGCTGAAATCCTGCCACAGTTGTTTTTCAGCAAAAGCCTCTTTTGCTGGTATTTTAAAAATAGGAGATAATTCCAGGGAGCAATGTCTCCTGCTGTATGGAGCTGTAAGGGAAGGGCAGGGGATGTTCCCCAGGGCTGGTTGTGCCTGTACCACCTCTCTGGTGGCTTCCAGGTGCTGTGCCAGGGGCCTGCAGTTTATAGCTGGATGTTACACTTTATCTCTGCAAAGCTCTCAGACCAGTTTTTGAGCAACTGCCAGCGGCGAAGCTGCTAGAAAGAGCACAGGGCTATCACAATGTCTCAGGCACCAGCTTCACCCACGGGCATCTGTTGGTGCTGCCCTGGGGAGCCCCCAGGCCTCACTCCGAGCTGTTGCAGCCCACACAGTCCCCAGCAGTGTCACAGCATTAGAGGAGTGTCCTGAAGGCTGGGGGTGCAGAGAGCCAAAGCAGCCTCCACTGGGTTTCCAGTGTGGACCCTGTCTGCACCCCAGCCCAGGAGCATCAGTGCTCCCGCAGGAATGGCCTTTCCAGGGGAGCAAGGCTCGCTATTGGTGGGGACTGAGATTGCAACCGATGAGTAAACCCCATCAAACAGCAAATCTGGGCAGCTTTCTGCTTTTGGGGCTTGTGGGACTAAGGGAAGGAGTATGGGTCTGATGTTGGATTAAGCTGCTGGTGACTGCGCTCTGTCACCAAAGCAGACTGCATGTGCTGCTTAGGAAAGCAACAAGTCTCCGCAGGCAGGCAGCAGGGACTAGCAGCCTCCCTCCACAGCTCCTTTTTCTACCCTAAAAGCCTCAATAAAACCCAGGACTGTGTTGCTTTTTGGAAGCTTTTTCACCGAGCGCTTCGCTGGCGAGTGGTGGCCGATCCATCGGTGGTTAGTAACTGGATGCACCCCCAGCCGCCCCACGGCTGCTGATCCTTTCCCTGGTCTCTGAGATGTGCCTGTGAAGCAGCCTGACAGGAGGAGGCTGCAGAGCTTTGCACCTTGGCACGAGAGCAGGCACGGCTGGCCATAAGGGAAGCCTTTGGGCAGAGTTTTGCTTTCACCCTGCTCTGCTCTCTGTCTAATCCTACCACCATCAACTCACTGCTCAAGACAAACCCAGTGCTGAGGGCAAATGATCCTGACCTGCCCGTGCCTTTCTAAGGCTCTTTTGGTTTCAAAGAGCAATTACCCAGCATCGTTATGACAGAATCAGAACAGTCAGAAGACTCCAGCAAGACAGGCAGAAACCCCCAGTTATGCAATTCCCTTACTTAGCCGCACTTTAATCCCAAATTTCATGGTAGTCCCAAGAGCTTCCTGCAAAATTTGACTGCACTCTGCAGCCAAGATCCTTCTTGCTGGCAGAAGCATGGTGGGATTACAGAGATGGCCTCAGCTTTTGGTTAGTTAAGCAGCAAAGCAAAGTGCTTTTCGAAGCAGCCTGTGATTAGTTAAGACACTGATCATCAGGTAAGAACACATAAAGAGGGAGAATTGTTCATTTTCAGATCAGTGAGCATCTTTCAAATGCATTGTGTCCCAAGGACTGAAAAGCAACCCAGATTAGAATGGACACTGCCTTTCCCAAGGGAGTGCTGCGGGATGGGTGGGAGGTTTGCCCCAGCCTTGGGATGCAAGCAGGTGCTGGGGGCAGCATAGACATGGCAGGTCCCTGTCCAGGACGCAGTCTCAGTGCCTGTGTCACTGTGTTATTTAGGAAGGCAGTGTGTGGTCACCACCCCCATTGTGCGTCCCATCTCTCCTGGCATCTCAGCCCACCTTTGGGATCAATGGTGCCCTGTTTTTCCCAGCTTGTACAGGCTCTGAATGGCAAACAGCACCGTCATCCCCGTCCGTATTGATTCCTCAGACTAATATCGATCAGCCTGGTGACATACAGGTAATGTGTAATTAGTTAACAGATAAAAATAGCGCCAAGAGGGTGTACAACCAAGCTGCCTGGGTACTTTGACCTTTGCTAGCATCTCCATGGTGGAAGCAAGTAGAGGGGTTGTAGCTTCCTAGTAATTGCTGACCTGCTATTTAAAACACCATGAAAGTCTCCCCATCGCTACCATGCGAGGCGGTTTTGGAGTGCTGCCTGATGG